TTGACATGCAAACCTGCGTCCAATAGTAAGATAAATAAACAAAGTTTTTTGGCTTCAAAATTCCCCTTTTAAAAAACGTCCTCATTTGAAACCCCACCTTTTTCTTGCAAACCCTCTTTTTGCATTGAAAATACCTTCTCCGCACACTACCGTCTTTGTTCCTATCGGCAGTTAGTGTCGTACCGCGGCCGCAAAAGCAAACTTGCTGAACAAAAAGAACCCCAATCATTTGAAAAAAAGCCTCAAACTCTTCTTCAGAAAGCATAAACTTCTGAGAAAGATTCCGATGACCGAAACTACGTAAGCAATCCACTGGAGTATAAGAAAACGCAGACCGATCAAAACTTGATTGGTGGAAGACAATGAATAACATCCAAGAATAGCAGATGGTAACTTTCAGCCTCAGGGATTTGCAAACATAAATTGAAATTCTGAAGCTTTACCAGCGAAAAAAGAATATTTGCTGGAAACAGAACCAGCAACCACTACACGACACGCTAGCTTACAGTCCCCTGCGCGAAGTGTAATCTCGGGGTTGCAGCATTCAAGGGCATATTTGAAGTTTTTTGTGATTAAGTGAAGGAGAGAAAAAAAAAAGGAAGCTTCCTGAGCTCCGTTCGCTTCACTTGCTTTCTCCTCTTCTTCAGCCGTGTTCGAAAGAGGGACATTTGCTGTTTTCTCGGCTTTCCTCCCCCCCCCTCTCTTCATCAAAATGCATTCATCGGACGCCTTACGATGGAAAGGACCATCTGACGTGTAGTCGGTGGGTTAATCCAACCAATTTTATTCCAAATCCAGAAGAAACTCGCGGAACAATGCCGTCTTCCGAGTTCCCTATATAACTGTTAGCAACCTACTCTTAGACGGGTTGCGCAGGCATCAAAGAAGTGAGGAGGTATCTTTCACTGTTATTAGTGAGTTACACATACTGTATATGGCATCAAAATACCGTACAAAAAAAGCGAGCTTTTGATTGGCACCGTCCTCTCCAGCCAATCAGCATAATGGGGCCACGAGTCTGAATGAGAACCACCTTTTTTTGATCAAGTTCTAATAGTAATTCTCATGTAGTTGTGCTTTGTGCTTTGTTTCTTTTTTAAAAACTTATCGTAGATGACTATATTTAATTGTCCATTAAAAAGTCATTAATATTGTTCTACTTCGGTGAGATAACCAGACAGCCCTTCACTAATGTTTATCTGCTGACCAATGACCAAGCGATGGCATAGTGAAACAGTTTTAAAGGTTCAAAAATGAAATGAAGACACGGTTAACCTGCTAAACCAATACAGAAAAATCAGCTCCAAACTATCCGTATACCAACAAATGCAGTTCTTAGGTTAACAGGTTTCTTTTTCGTTTTCTCAAATAACTGATCACTCATAATCTGGTGTCAACGAATCCATCAATTCATCGATTTTTTGCTCCAATATTGGAATTATCTCACGGTCGACAAAGATATGTGTATCATCGAGCTCTTTGACAACAAATTTCATGCCAAGGATACGTTGTTCATCAAGATGTACAAGCAATTGTCGCATTGCTGGGTCGCACTCGATCAGAACACCCTTTTTTACGTTCACCATATTTTTTTTCAGACAATTTTAATTAAGTATAATTATGGCAACAACGAATTTTAACGCAAATCCAGTATATATCAAGATTCAGAAAATGAATGAAGCAAAAAAAAAGTCCAGTTCTTCCACAATTTTCTGTCGTCGGTTACCCTAAAACATATTTTCATATCATTTGTTCGGACGACCACCATACATTATACATCATAGTTTTTTGAGCATTGCAATGGTATTAATCGAGTTTATCAGGTTAAAAGTGTCGCATTCTGTGTCACACTTCTTAATGCCATATAAATAATTGCAAATTACACAGCAATTGGATAAAAAGAACATTATGCGCATCGACCGTTTCAACTACAGAAGTCAGTTTCCTTTCCAACAGCACTAATTGCAAGTAAGCAAACAGTTAAATATTATGATTACGAATACTGTTCGTTGGTTTCAAGTCTGCCGAAAAAGTTAGAAACTATTTTTTTCCATTATTTTTCAACGCTGCTATAACTATTGCTGGCAGCGAATAATGTCAATGTTTTGGCAATAAAATGACCTACTTCAAAATACCGTTCAAAGTACAGTGGTTTTAACCATTAAAAATTTCCTTAAAAAGAATTTTCTGAAATAAGACAACCGACGACCTCTAAAGAAGGAAAGACCGAAGGTATTGCTGCCTGTCCAGAAAAAAAAAGAAAAAAATTTACACCTTTCTGATACAAATCTAAACAACGTTTCCAAAGATGCATCGTTTCCGTTTCATCTTTCAAGTGATAACAAATTAAAAGCCACAACTTGAATGTACAAAAACAGTAGGCGCAAAAGTAACCGATCAAATCGTTAGCAGTCTTCAGTGAATTCCTTGAGCATACCGCCAAATTACCACTCCCAAATAAATAATCTCTTTTTTTTTTCTTTAGTATTTTGCTAGAAGTAGTATCCCAAAAGGTCAATTCAATTATCTTCAAAACCAATAAAACAATTCTTAAAATTGTTTACGACTAACACTGCGTAACGGAAGCCACAAAACTTATTTAAATGCCCTTTAGAAAAAACAATCATTAAAGCCTTAATCACATTTCTAAAAATAAATAGATGAACAATTAGTTAAAAGCAAGTATTGAGCAGTCTAAACGTATATATAGCAGTCTGAACGCCAAAATATATCTTTATTAAACGACTAATCAGAAAGTCGTCAAAATGCATTACTCGTTTTTGTAGTGTTTTACGCCTAAAGATTTTGCATTGGAGCAACTAACGCGGATAAGAATACAAAGGTGACATCGCGCCATTTCAATATCATTTTTTTCGACAGCAGTTGCTGTGAGATACCTTTTTTCCCCCTTTTCAGAAAACACTATACCCCTCAAATTCTAAAACAAAAAATTTGCGAGTAAACCAGCAGTATAGAGCAGAAAATCAAGTTAAAGTTCACACCATTGCTTGAAATGGACTAGTGGTTCACATTAAAAAAAATACATTTCTATTGACGCCGATACAAACAACCAATTTTCCTGTCAACTTACATTTCTAGATGGCGTTTCACAGTCCTGTGAAAACATGAGTCCCATAGATATTTGCCCAGAGTCTAAAACCACCAAACTGCTTCCACACAGGATCAATATAGATGTTAAGAACAACTCTTACTGCCAACTAAAAATAGAAAGTTTCTTCCCCAAATTTGCGAACCAAATGAACTGTCCGCGTTGAGCTCGTTCCACTTTTTAATATTTAAGTGCATTTAAGGTTGGTCTATAAGCACCAATAATTAAACTTCACGCTTCAGCGTCCTCTGATACTTCATGAGCGTCAAAGTCACCAATTATTCCCTGTGTAGATCATATTGCAACAATGTCATCCAATTCATTAAAGTCATTTAAAAGACAAAGTTAATTGCGAACTCTTGCCTTTAATCAACCGAACACCTTGCTGTTGCTTGAATGTTGAACTAGAGAAGAAAAGAGCACCTTTATTTAATTGATTCTATATACGACGTTCAAAATAAAAAAAATAGCACATTGTGAACTGATAAAACTGCCACTAATATCAATATGAAGTTTTGCTTTATAACTACAACCTAATTACATAATATCCTAACTGTAATAAACATAGAACCAAACCCGTTACAAAGGTGAGGTTCAGATATGATAATCATAAATTATAAGCTGAATCCTCAAGCTTTTCCTGACTCCACTTCTAAATATTTTATTATGTCTGCCCGATCTTCTGCCTTCTTTAACCCCGCGAATACCATCTTTGTTCCTGGTATATATTTCTTCGGGTCTAATAAATATTCAAACAGAGTTTCACGGCTCCAAACTGCTCCCTGAAACCAGATATTATATAGTTGAATAGAAGCATCACAAAAAAATTTAGCAACTCAACAGAATAAGAATAACTCTAGCCAAAGATTACAACAGATTTCCATCACAATTAATTAAAAATGACGCGCCAATCAGTTCTGGATTTCGAGCCTCATCTGGCAAAAACGTCAGAGACAGGCTAGAACTAGTCGACGCAAGAATGATAAAAACAAGAAGCTATTTTAGGCAAACCATTCAATGCAGTAGCAGCTATAAAAATAAGTTTGCTGTTGCACAAAAAAATTCACACATTAGCTTTTACAAGGAACAAAAAAAAACCTTTCATACTATAAGTATTAAAATTACAGTAGACTTTCAAAATCCTTTGTATAAAAGCACTGATGAAAGGTCCTATGCTAATTTTACAGAAGTAGCCTATCGATACAAAACACTGCCAGTCGGTATTTGACTCAGTAATTATCCAACTGCGACACCGCAACAAAAAGAGTTCCCACTGCATAATTGCATTCACATAATGCACTGCTATCCCCAAACACTTAGTGGTCAAGAAATATTACTTTATTTTTGTTGGCTGCAGAGTAAACAAAGCCTGGAACGTCGCCTGTTTTACGGCCAATAATGCCATACAATGACGGTCCAGTTTTATTCGTTTTTGAATCCGCCACGTGGCACTGTCCGCAACGTTGTTTAAAAAGTTTCTTCCCCTTCTCGTAATTTCCTTCAGGAATATCTGGCATTCTACAACTACTGTTCAACTCTGTGGCACTAAAACCTAAAAAAAAAAAAATCATTAAACAGAAACAACTTGATTCAAACGATGCATACGAGCCATTTTGAAATCAATTATGATATATAAAAATAAACAGACAAACAAAAAAACCTCAACATGAAACATCAAATGATGTCATAGGCTACAAAATTACTTTTAAAACAAATAAAATCAAAGTTCATGGGTCTGTGGTTAAAGCTCTGCAAAAGAAAATAGCAGTTAACAAAAAATAACCTAATAGATTACAGAATAACAACTCTCGACAGTATAAGCCAGGTTCTATAAAGTTCAACCAGAAAAAAGTAAACTTATCATTCTACAGAGCACTGAGCAATCAAAAACAACATTAATAATCACTTCTATCTTTAAATAGAACCAATAAACTGAAGAATTTTAAGAAAGATCTCGTATATCGATTGCCCTTCTGAAACCATATGTTAATTGCTCGTTATGCAATACTGCAACCCAAACTAGAAATAGGAGGTGAGACTATAGTTAGCGCCTGTACTTGTAAAAATGATGTCATATGCATCACAGCATACAACATTGCATTTTTGATTAAGATACTACAACGGTAATGCAATAACCGCAAAAAATTCGCCTCTGCAGTACAGTAGTCAGAAGCGGTTAACGTGTTGAAATTTGTATATCATCAACAAAATCCTTGCGAGACTCTCGTATGGAGTGTATATCTATTAAACGCTATCACTGTGTGAGGTGTGGTAAATGCAAAAAATAAAAAACCGTATCAACATAGGAAGTGTCTATTAATGAAATGTTTTTGCACCAGTGGAAGGCCGCATTTCTGCACACAAAACAGTTAGCTGATTTTATGTTCGTATCAATGCTTGGATAGTTACCGGACTATAGTTCCTTTAGAACTTTTAAAATTACGTTCTAAACTTGACCTTCAACTGCATTAATCTTAACTACCACTGATTTACAACCAATGCTGATAAAACCTCAATGGAGTATGAATGGGAAGACATAACGCTTGAGAAAAAAAAACTAATCCAGTTTATCAAAGCTTATCCATTATGAAAGAAGGCATGTGAAAAAAGTCAAGTTCCTTAAGAAAGAATTATATATGTACACTGCCGTGCGAAGAAAACATCCAAATAAAAAACTGTTACTAATACGAGGAAAGAAAAAATTGCTATCGGAAGCTAAAAGCCGTTGAAACGAGGACTGGACAAATTAGATGAGAGTCAAAAATGCCGTGTAGGACCCAACGTGAACGAATTTTTATGAAATAAGGTGCTTTATGAAGTTGTCACCTTAAGCTATCTATCGCCTTGTTGCTTCAAGCTTCATATAACTGGATCAACATTTGCGGAAGTCCACAGGGTCAATGCCGCACCGCTGAGGTGCTACACTGACCCTGTGGACAAAAAAAAAAAAAA